CGTACGTCGTGTTTTGCTATGGGTATCCATATGACGTGCGGAACTCTGTGCCACCACTTTCCAAAGAGGAAATTTTCTCGTTAATCCGATCCGTATGCTTTGCATAGCAGTCTGTCTTGAGAAATACTGAAAGTTTCAAAGAGATCTTCGTACTAGAAGTATTCTAAAATGTGAAGAATACAACCCCGGGAGTACAAAATGACCCCAGGGCATACGGATAGGGTTAAAAACTTCCCCATACAAGAATTGAACTCGTGTCTTAATAAAATGAGTAAGGTCGTGGGTTCGAATCCCATCAGGGGCCCGACGTTGTGTCCTTGGGAGAGGCACTTTACACGAATTTCCCCCACTTCACCCAGGTGGGAATGGGTACCCGGCTATAGACAGCGAAAGATCTTGTCAGTTTGATAGTGTCAGAGCGCTCAACCAGCTGCTTGCACTGTATGCTTCCCGGGAAGCTGAGAATGTTTCTGAGAGTTCCATGGTCTGCTGGGGTAATAATATAGTGTAAAGCGCATAGAGCTTGCTGTTGGGCGGGGGGTATGCGCTATACAAATGCTATTAGATAATATGTGCGCCACGGCAAAGCGCGTTACTGCAACACCACAGATGCCAGTCAAGAGTTTCAGTTTGGTAACAGTTTTACGCCGCTCGCAACTACATAAGATGCCAGTCATAATGTAGTGGAGATTTCAAAAGAAAAAAAAAATTGGAAATGGGGAAAAAATAACCTCGAAGGCCTTTGTCAACACTTGGTTGAGCAGTACACAGTGCCAAAGCAAAGGAACAAAGACACTCGATAAAACAACTTCCCAAAGCGAGCATCAAACTCATAGTTACTCAACCCTATCTGTACGCCCTGGGGTCATTTTGTAACCTCTCGGTTAATTGTATTCTTCACATTTTAGAATACTTCCAGTACGAAGATCTCTTCAAAACTTTCAGTATTTCTAAGAAAAAGTCATTTTGACAGACTGCTATGCAAAGCGTACAGATCGGATTAACGAGTAAATTTCATCTTTAGAAAGCGGTGGCACAGAGTTCCCCACATCGTATGGATACGATAGTAAAATACAACGTAGGGACAGGAGTAATAAAACAACTTCCCAAAGCCACCATCAAACACATAGATACTTGATAAAAAAACAACTTCCCAAAGCAAGCATCAAACTCATAGATACTAGATAAAAAAACAACTTCCCAAAGCAAGCATCAAACTCATAGATACTAGATAAAAAAACAACTTCCCAAAGCAAGCATCAAACTCATAGATACTAGATAAAAAAACAACTTCCCAAAGCAAGCATCAAACACATAGATACTTGATAAAAAAACAACTTCCCAAAGCAAGCATCAAACACATAGATACTTGATAAAAAAACAACTTCCCAAAGCAAGCATCAAACACATAGATACTTGATAAAAAAACAACTTCCCAAAGCAAGCATCAAACACATAGATACTAGATAAAAAAAACAGCTTCCCAAATTGAGCATTAAACACATAGATACTAGATAAAACAACTTCCCAACGCCAGCATCAAACTCACATCTTCTGTTAGCAATGGTGAAGAGCCTAACCACTACACCACAGACACTTGTCAAAACATAATCAATCACTCCTTTAAGTAAGTAAAAAAAAAAAAAAAGAAAGAAAAAAGACTTCTAAAAGCGACCTCATTTAATCAAAAACAACTCCTTTACCATTTATTGTTGATCAGAACTTCCACTCTGCAGCCCAGAACATCTGAAGAGAGAGAAAAAGAAAGTACCACATCACATACAACCTTCCTGCAACAGATCTTTTTCTATTCTGTGAGACCTTTCCATTAAAAAAAAAAAATGTTTTATAGTAGAGGGTTTAACGGCACCCGCAACTGCATACGGTCATATGGGCGCCAAGGGGTGGGTGTCAACAGAGAAGTCCTTACAGGGAATCAGACTTTTTCTGCTCACCTCTCTAGCTTCAACAGCACAAGGTCTGCTTCGACTATCAAGGCACCCCGGAAATAGCAGGTCACAAGAGGGTGACAAACATACAAAAGAAGTAGAGAAAAATGACAATAGTAAGGATCAGGAAAGAAAAAGCAGCAGTTCCCTGTTGTAGTTTAGGCACAGTTATGAGCGTGACATGAGTCAGCCCATTTACAATTCTACTATGCTTGAACGAGATATGTCCCCCCTTTGGAAATGGCCTAAAGACACTTCAGTCAGTGGCACTGCCCCGGGGGGTAAGACCTTTTCAACTTCACAGTTGGGGCATGAATTTTTAAAAAGGAAAAATACTTTGGAAGAAGTTTTAGTTTTCGTAAGGGTTTTACGGCGCTCGCAACTGCAGAACGTCATATGAGCGCCAGAAGATTAGAGCTGTTACAAGAGAGTAACAAACATAAAAAAGATGAAGGGGAGATAAGGACGATAGATGTTCGATAGGAAAGAAGAAGCAAACCACACCAGAGCACCCGCTAACCACCCACTTTCTATTCTGTGAGACCTTTTCAACTTCATAGTTTGGGGGACGAATTTTTCAAAAGGAAAAATACAATGGAAGAAGTTTTAGTTTTTGTAAGGGTTTTACGGCACTTGCAACACAATAAGGTAATATAAGTGCCTAAGATTAGAGGAGTTAAAAGGGAGTAACAAACACAAAAAAAGAAGGGGGGAGATACAGACGATAGATGTTTGATAGGAAAGAAGGAGCAAACCACACAAGAGCACTCGCCCACCACTCACTGGACATGGATGGCTGGTGCCACTATAAATAAATTTTATCATTGATGGTCATTTAGTGCTGGAAAAAGTCGGACAGACAGACAGACAGACAGAAACAACAGAGGGAAAGTAAAGTAGTAGGACCTACCAGTGGCGCCCTCCAACCACCCGCACACAACCCTAGACCCCACACTGGGAGAAAGTAGAAAAAAAAAAGAACAGTTCACAAGAAAGCATCATCCACCACCCATCCACTAAAACAGACAAGTCAGCATCACCATACCTTCTCTCTTCACTGGCTTGGAGTCCTCTGTCTCCGTGGGCTGTGCTTCGTTCTCATCGGCTGAAGCCTGCCAGAGCAAGAAAATAATATGTGTAACGACGCGGTGGAAATCAGGCGCTCGTCAATTTTAGGGCATGTGGAGTTATTGATATTATCTTAAAGCATGTTCATTTTTCTACATTTTGACGGCAAAAATATCCATTTATCTTGAATAGAAGTTGAGATATTTGTGATTGAAGGAGGTGGGGGTCACCTGGTTCGAGAGGCAAAAATTAATGAGAAAAAGGCGCCAAAGTTTGTCGACCTCCACACTTGAGTCATTGGAAACTGAAAATTTACATTTTGTATGCCTTTAATCGACATTTTTCAGTAAAATCCTCACAAAAAATAGTTTTTAAATTGACATAAAAGGTGTTGAGGTAAAAAAAAATAATTTCTAATTGTCACACAGGTGGGAAAACGCCGATATCCCCAATTTCATTATTTTGATGAGCGCCTGATTTCATGATGCCTCACATATATTTGATCAAAGAGAAGCATATTGACAGATTAACAAGACTTTTTTTTTAGTAGAGGCTTTACGGCGTTCGCAACTGCATAAATGATAAGGTCACATGAGCGCCAGAAGATTAGAAGTGTTACAAGAGAGTAACAAACATAAAAAAGAAGAAGGGGAGATAAGGACGATAGATGTTTCATAGGAAAGAAGAAGCAAACCACACCAGAGCACCCGCCAACCACCCAAAAGGCAAGGCTGATAGACAGAGGCAACAGAGGGAGAGAAAAGAAGTAGGACTTACACATTGCGCCCATCATCTGTAGCCAAAAAAAAGTTCAACAAAATAAGGAAAAGTAGCTACTGCTAACCACAGAGAACAAAACGTTGACTCGTGTACTCTGCTCAAGGAACTGAAACCAATGAATGAGAATCAGTGAAGCCAGATCAAAAAGACAGAAGAGAGAATAAATTATTTTGATTCCAACATTGACTTATATCAAGGACATTCAAACCTGCTATAACTTTCACAGTAAACTGTCCAAGACAATCACCAGCACAAACAACCATTTCCCCGTTTTCCCCGTAAACTTTTAGTAAAAAGAGTTGTACAGCACTTGCAAATTAATAATAAGGTCATTTGGAGTGCCAAAAGAGTAAAGTAACGTTGTTCCCACTTCCGATCCGGACATTGGGGACTGACTGCCTTGTTAGAGAGACAACTTCCTGGGCCTTCGGCATATTGTGGTAGGGTGGCCAGTTCCTTTCCACACCGCCTTCACTTCCCCAACTCGAAGTCAGGTACCCATTACTGCCGGATGGGCAGGAGCGGGCGAAAAAAATCTGCATCCGAACCGAGGACTTTCCGCTTAAGAGACGAGCGCACTAACCGCTCAGCCACAACACCCTTGTCAAGAAAGTAATAAACACAAAAAAAGGAGGAGAGATAAGGGTGAAGATATGTGATAGGAAATAAGGAGCAAACCACACCAGAGCACCCGCCAACCACCCACTCTCCTTGCCCTCCAAAGGGTGGCGTAAACCATTTACAACAAACAGGTGGGCAAAGAGGAAGTTCACCGGGCTGTAACAAGAGACTGCACAAAACGAGGACAGGCAATCAACAAACCCCAGCAGCTGGCCTTGAACAGAGTGGAAGCCTATCACATTACACACACACGTGTACACACACACGTGTACACACACACACACACACGAACACACACACACACACACAGGCACAAAAATACTTGCACCTTCAGAGATTTGACGGGCCAGAGGCACAGAACAGACTTGCCAGCCAACTTTTTCCAAACCCAATCAGGGAACAGCCAACATTACAGCACCAGATTACATAACAAACAGTAAAGAGAAACACATTAACACACTAATGGTCATTTAGTGCTGGGAAAAAGTAACAACGGACAGAAACAAGAGAGGAAAAGTACAGAAGTAGGACCTACCAACAGCGCCCTTCCAACCATCTATAAAAGGACATCATAAGGGATGGGTTTTTAGGTCGTTTAAGTGAAAAAGTTCTCAAATTCCCAACAGCCAAATCCAGTTAGACCAGTCCCAGGAAATCTGGGAGAGTTGTTTTTAGTTTTAGTAATTCTGTTACAGCACTTGCAACACAATAAGGTCGTATTAGAACTGAAGATTAGAGATGTTTTAAGAGGGTTTAGTTTTTAGTTTTCGTAAAAGAGTTTTACGACACTTGCAATACAATAAGGTCATATAAGTACAGTTTAGTTCAGTTTTAGTAGAAATTTTACAGCGCTCGCAACGGCATAATATAAGTAGAGAAGATCAGTGATGAGGAGAGATCAGGACCATAGAAGTTTGATAGGAAAGAAGGAGCAAACCACACCAGAGCACCCGCCAACCACCAACTCTCCTTGCCCGCCAAAGGGTGGGTAAACCATTTACAACAAACAGGTGGGCAAAGAGGAAGTTCACCGGGCTGTAACAAGAGACTGCACAAAACGAGGACAGGCAATCAACAAACCCCAGCAGCTGGCCTTGAACAGAGTGGAAGCCTTTCACATTACACACACACGTGTACACACACACGAACACACACACACACACACACACTTACACACACACACACACAGGCACAAAAATACTTGCACCTTGAGAGATTTGATGGGCCAGAAGTACAGAACCGACTTCCCAGCCAACTTTTTCCAAACCCAATCAGGGAACAGCCAACAATCCAGCATCAGATTATATAACAACAAACAAAATGACATCGATTGGGACTGGTAGTAGTAGTAGAGGTTTCACGGCGCTTGCAACTGCATAAGGTCATATAAGCGTCAGAAGATTAGAGGTGTTACAAGAGAGTAACAAACACAAAAAAGAAGGAGGGGAGATAATGACGATAGATGTTTGATAGGAAAGAAGGAGCAAACCACACCAGAGCACCCGCCAACCACCCACGATTGGGACTGGATTTTTGTGTCGTGAAAGTGACAAAGCTCTCCAATTTCCAACTGCCAAATCCATGACAGTCTCAGGAAATCTAGGACAGTTTTGTTTTTAGTTTGAGTAAGAGTTTTATGGCACTTGCAACACAATAAGGTCATATAAGCGCAGAAGAACAGATTATGTGTCAATATAAGCGCAGAAGAACAGATTATGTGTCACAAGAGAGTAACATGCACAAAAAAGGAGGGGAGATAAGGACGACAGATGTTTGATAGAAAAGAAGGAGCAAACCACACCAGAGCACCCGCAGTAAGAGTTTTACGGCACTTGCAACACAGTTAGGTCATATAAGTACCGAAGACTAGAGGTGTTACAAGATAGTTTAGTTTTTAGTTTTAGTAAGAGTTTTACAGCACTTGCAAAACAATAAGGTCATATAAGTACAGAAGATTAGAGGAGCTACAAGACAGTAACAAACACAAAAAAGGAGGAGGAGAGATAAGCATGATAGATGCTTGATAGGAAAAAAGGAGCGAACCACATCCTCAGAGCACCCGCCAACCACCAATGGGACAGCTGACGAGCCTGACAAAAAATACTTCCTAGACCTCAAGGTCACTGGTGATTCAAGGCCACTGACGATAGTACCAGGTCAAACATGAAGGAGAAGCGACAAAAACGTAATAAAAAGATGGGACAAAAACGTAATAAAAAGATGGGACAAAAACGTAATAAAAAGAAGGGACAAAAACGTAATAAAAAGATGGGACAAAAACGTAATAAAAAGAAGGGACAAAAACGTAATAAAAAGATGGGACAAAAACGTAATAAAAAGAAGGGACAAAAACGTAATAAAAAGAAGCGACAAAAACGTAATATCTGCAGCCAGCTGCCCCGTCAAAGGCTATCACTTTTCCACATCTCTGAAGCCGTGGGCCAGGTGTGGTTTACCACAGCTGTCAAACCTGTCACTTGTTGAGGGGGCAACAGAATGCCGGGTATATATATATATTTCACCTAAAAAAAACAGCTATCCTTCTATTCTATTCTTCATAGGCAGCAATGTAACGTTTTGTGATTTTTGTCATACAATATTGTTGGGCATCATGGGGTTTTGTAATCCGAAACTTGATTTCATCAGTGCATTGTGAAGCATGGCATAGTTGTAACCCTCTCCCAATGAGGATGAGTATGACAACTTTGGTTGATTTTTTAGGGAGTTGTTTTTTTTCATTTCTCTTCCTGTCATTCCAATGAGGAGTCAACACGATACACACAAAATCAATACATGGAAAACTTTTGGTCAATTATCCCTCAAAGGAGGAAGAGGAGAATCATGTAAAATCCTCTCAACTCAGAACTAAAAAAATAAAACAAGGTCAGAAATTATATACAAATAATTAAGAGAAAAGCAAAAAGTGAACAGGATTTGGAGGACCAGGGAGATCTCATTACGAACAAAGCTTACAATTTTCAACTCAAATGTCAGGTCAGTCTTGTTGTATGGATGTGAGACGTGGAACGCATCCCATTTGTGCATAAAGAGGGTCCAGGTTTTCTTGAACAAGTGTCTGAGGAAGCTACTGAGGATCAAATGGACAGACAGGATCACCAACGAGGAAGTATTAAGAAGAACCAGACAGAGCTCAGTCAGAGATGAGGTGGGAAGAAGATGTTGGCGATGGATTGGACACACTCTCAGGAAGTCAAGCAGCTGCATAACAAGAAAAGTGTTAGATTGGAACCCGCAGGGTAAAAGATCAAGGGGAAGACCACGTGGAACCTGGAGAAGAGTCACGGAAATGGATGTACAGAAAAGTGGGAAGACGTGGAGTGACATCAAGTGACTAGCCCAGGAGAGGGAAAGGTGGAGAGTGTTTGTTCGTGGCCTATATCCTGACCCAGGGTGAGAAAGGCAATGATGATGATGAAAAAGTGGTACTACAAACTCAACCCCCTCCCCTCCAAATCACTAAGGTGTCTTCTCTTTCCTTTATTACCAACAACATCAACATGACAAGAAATATATAAATAACCTAGGAAAAACATAAACAAATATATAAATTCATTTGGAAAAAAACGTAAGCAAATTTACTTTTAAAAAAAGAAAAACTAGTGAAATGACGAGCAAACAAGTGGAACGAACGGCACACTCATTTTTTAAAAAAATTTTTTAAAGCAAGAGAAAAAAACTCGCTAAATCACCTCCGATCTGAGATTCCCTCCCTTCCCGCGCATCCTGCTGGAGGAGGAGCGCGAGGAGGCCTTGCCCTCGTCCCCACTGTCGCTGACCACAACCTCAGTGTTGGTGGGGACGGCGGCCGCTGCTTTTTTCTTCTCTGCGCCGCTGTCGGAGGCCGGCGTGTTGAAGTGGGAGACCCTCTGCTTCTTGACGGGGATCTCCGGGTACTCGATAACCTGATGGGGCGGCACACATGCACAATTTGGAGGAGGGTTAGTTTATTTTGTTTTAGTAGTAAGTGTCTTACACCACTTGCAACAATATAAGGTCATATAAGTGCCGAAGATTAAGAGGCGTTACAAACAAGAGAGCAACAAACACAAAAAAGGAGGAGAGATCAGGACGATTATTTTTTTTAAAAATTTTAGTGGGGGTTTTACGGCACTCGCAACTGCGTAAGGTGATATGAGCGCCAAGGGGTGGATGTCAACAGAGAAGTCTTTACAGACTTAGACTGCTCACCTCTCTAGCTTCAACAGCACAAAGTCTGCTTCGATTATAAAGGCACCCCAGAAGTAGCAGGTCACAAGAGAGTGACAAACATACAAAAGGAGTAGAGGAAATGACAATAGTAAGGATTAGTAAAGAAAAAGCAGCAGTTCCCTGTTGTAGATCAGGCACAGTTATGAGCATGACACGAATCAGCCCATTTACAATTATTCTGTGCTTGAACGAGAAAATGTCCCCCCTTTGGGAATGGCCTAAAGGCACTACAGTCAGTGGCACTGCCCCGGGGGGAAGTAAGTAAGTGTTTTAGGGCACTTGCAACACAATAAGGTCATATAAGTGCCGAAGATTAGAGGTGTTATAAACAAGAGAGTAACAAACACAAAAAAGAAGGTGGGGATATAAAGACGATAGACATTTGATAGGAAAGAGGAAGCAAACCACATCAGAGCACCTGCCAACCACATGTTACGAGTGCTGTACAACACTTACCAAAACAATAAAAGAAAAAAAAAAGAAAAAAAAAAGAGGCAACCTTTCTCTAACAACCCCCCCCCCCCACCAGCTCAATCACTGTTTAGAATTTTTTCCTCAAGTCATCATACCCGCTATACGTGCATCACTCTAGTTTCATCTTTCATGCAATAACCCTAATACAGTATACAGTTTTCACTTCTATAATTCTACTGTCCTGGGCACTCTGGAGTGAAAGGCAATGAGGAGGCTGATAGGCTGGCAGGCAGTGCCGTGGTTGATGGTGAGGTGAAATTTGACAAAGGAGAAGTGTTGAAGACCCAGGAGAAAAAGTTGCAGGATGAAGAAGACAGGGAGACAGCAGAACACAACGCAATCATTAGGATGCGGGAAATGGGGATAGACAGGGGAGAAGGAAGAATGGAACGATTATCTGTAAAGGAAAGACGTCGCAATAATCAGACAGCCACCGGAACAATCAGTATGGATACCTTGCAGGTTTTAGTGCTGGGGGGAACCGAGCACTTATGGACCTGTCCGGTGTGCAATGACGATGTTGCCCAGGACAGGTAATACAGGTAATTCTTGGAAGACATTTCATGGAACTCGAAATATTTGAGAAGAATCTACCAATCGTAAAATATCCATTACATCTGGAACGTAAAGGAGCCTCCCTTCCAAAGCTGCAGTTTTAAAAAGCCCTAGTCTACGAGACACCTACTTGCTCTTTCGTGCGGCTTCGCTTTGCTTCTTTACTAGTCTCCACATGCTGAGAACTGTTCTGACTTCTTCCACGCCTTGATTTGGGGGCCTCCTCCTCCTCTTCCTCCTCCTCTTCTTCTTCTTCCTCCTCCTCCTCCTCCTCCTCCTCCTCTTCTTCTTCTTCCTCTGAAGATACAGGTGGTTTCTGGAAAAGAAAAGTTACGTAGCCAACATTCTCACCACGGAAGACGATGGCTTTAATAAGCCGTTTCAAATTTTGAAAAGCCTGAAAAAGGAGATAGACCAACCGACAACAAAGAAACTGGATATTTTTTTTTCTTACTTTCAAAATTCTGAGTTTAGTACATTTGAAAAGAAACTGGAATTTTTTTTAATTCAAAATTCTGGGCCTGGTATATTCGAAAAGCTGACCAACGATAAGGCATTTGTGAGACCTCGTGTTGAAATCAGGCGCTCGTGAAAATAAAGAAATCAAAGAAACTGCCTGTTTGGCAATTTGTATCGAATTTTCTTTCTTTTTTTTCTCAACACCTTCAAGGTCCATTAAAAAACATGTTTTGGTGTAGATTTTACTGAAAAAGGTTGATTTTAGGCACAAAAATGTAAATTTGCAATTTCTAAGGACTCTCAAGCTTAGGAAGTCATCAATTTTGGCGGCCATTTTTGGGGGGCAATTAAACCTCCGAAACCAAGCGACCCCAACCTCCTTCAGTCGCCAATATCAAGACTTCTATTCATGATAAATCGAGTATATTTTTCACCAAGAGCAAGACAAATGAACAAGCTTTGAAATGATACCCAAAACCGTACACGTCCAAATACTGACGAGTGCCCCGAAGCCACCGCGTGGCGACACAGTTACCTTCTTTGATTTTGATTTTGCTGGCGGGGCTCTTCTAGGAGGAGGGGGGCTGGGGCTCTTCCGCTTGGACTTGACCGTGACCTGAGAGGAGCTCTTGGCCGCCACTTTGGCGGGCTTGGAGGAGGCGGGGGGGCGGCTGGCGGGCCGCGTGGGAGGGGGAGGAGGGGTGGGGCTGCGACGACTGCGCTTGGCTGAGACGGCTTTGGACGAAGAAGAGCCTGAGGAGCTGCTGCTGTTGTTGTTGTTGCCTTGAGAGCCGGACGACCGGGATGACTTGGGGGGTGGGGGCTCAGGCGACGGGGAGCGGGGGGCTGGGGAGGGAGATCTGGCCTTGGCTTTCTGTGAGGGGGACCGAAAAAAGAAAAAAAAATTAATTAATAAACATGCGATAGAAAACAAAGTGTGTCTGAAAGTACTTTAAAAAAGTTTTAGTGAGGGTTACGGCATAAGATCAAATGACCGCCAAAGGGTGGGTGTCAACAGAGAAGTCTTTACAGGGAATCAGACTTAGACTGCTCACCTCTCTAGCTTCAACAGCACAAGGTCTGCTTCCACTATCAAGGCAGCCCAAAAAAGCAGGTCACAAGAGAGTAACAAACATACTAAAGAAGTAGAGGAAAATGACAATAGTAAGGATCAGGAAAGAAAAAGCAGCAGTTCCCTGAAGCAGATCAGGCACAGTTATGAGCGTGACATGAGTCAGCCCATTTACAATTCTCCTATGCTTGAACGAGAAATGTCCCCCCTTTGGGAATGGCCTCAAGACACTTCAGTCAGTGGCACCTGCAGGGTTGGGTTGATTTAAATCAGGTTGATTTTAATCAGTTGATTTTTTTTATTTAAATCACTTTTTTTTAAATTTATTTTTATTCAGTTTTTTCATATTTCAACATTCAGAATTCCCTTCCTTGGTTTCATAAAACAGATATAAGGTTAAGTAGACTAATATAATTCATGTTTAAAAGTCTGCTTTCCCACCTTTCACTGTAAAATAATACAGTATTCAATTTACTTTTTTTCCATAATTGAAATCAGAGCTGGGTTGATTTAAATCAGTTGATTTTTTATATATTTCAATCAACTTGATTTTTAAAATAAAAATCAGTGATTTAAATCACTTTTTAACAAAAGTATTCAGTTTTTACATATTTGAACATTCAGAATTCCTTTCCTTGGTTTTATTAAACATATAAGGTTTAGTAGACTAATATAATCATGCTTAAAAGTCTGCTTTCCCCCTGTCACTGTAAAATAATACAGTGTATTCAATTGACTTTTTTTTCATAATTGAAATCAGGGTTGGGTTGATTTAAATCAGGTCGATTTAAATCAGTTGATTTTTAAAAAATTTTAATCAACTTGATTTAAAAAATAAAACTCAGTGATTTAAATCATTTTTAAAAAATGTATTCTGTTTTTACATCTTTAAATATTCAGAATTCCTTTCCTTGGTTTTATAAAACAGTATATAAGGTTTAGTAGACTAATAAAATCATGCTTAAAAGTCTGCTTTCCCCCCTGTCACTGTAAAATAATACAGCATTCAATTTACTTTTTTTTCATTATTGATATTAACATTTTCTTTTTCTTTTTAGACAAACACAAGCGCGTGCACACACACACACACTGTAATAAAATGCAAGTTTATCTATGCATAATTACCCCCCACCCCCCCACCCCTTCCTTTTAGACTGACATTTTCTTCATTTTTTGTCTGTAGCCATAATTCACTTATATATATATATATATATATATATATATATATATATATATATATATATATACTTATATATATTATATATATATATATTATACTATTATATAGCAGATTAAGGCTTTCTTTTGAGGTTGCTTAATTTAATCATTAGTTAAATTAAGACAATGCATTTTGCACTAAAAGAACATACTTTTAGCAACCAAAAATCCCAAACTGTGTCGACATTTTTTAAAAAATCAAAAAAATCAAAAAAATCTGATTTAAATTTTAAAAATCATGATTTAAATTTTTTTTAATCGATTTTTTTTATTTTTTTGAAAAAAAAAAAAAAATCACCAACCCTGGCTGCCCCGAGGGGGGGGGGGGGGGGGAGAGAAAAATTAATTAATATTAATAAATAGACATGCGATAGAAAACAATGTGTGACTGAAAGTACTTTAAAAAAAGTTTTAGTGAGGGTTTACTGCGCCTGCCACTGCATAAGGTCATATGAGCGCCAAAGGGTGGGTGTCAATAGAGAAGTCCTTTCATGGAATCAGACTTACTCTGCTCACCTCTCTAGCTTCAACAGCACAAGGTCTGCTTCGACTATCAAGGCACCCCGGAAGTAGCAGTTCTCAAGAGAGTGGCAAACATACAAAAGAAGCAGAGGAAAATGATGATAGTAAGGATGAGGAAAGAAAGGGCAGCTGTTCCCCCATGTTGTTTTGGCACGGTATGAGCATGACGTTGATAAGTCAGCCCATTTACAATTCTATTGTGCAAACGAACATGTTCATATCCCCCCTTTGGGAATGGCCTAAATACACTTCAGTCAATAGCATTGCCCTGGGGAGGGGGGGGGGGGGCATTTATTTTCTTCACACATGAACAAAGTAGAAAAGGGGCAATATCTTCATCACACATGAACAAAGTAGAAAAGGGGCAATATCTTCATCACACATGAACAAAGTAGAAAAAGGGGCAATATCTTCATCACACATGAACAAAGTAGAAAAAGGGGCAATATCTTCATCACACATGAACAAAGTAGAAAAAGGGGCAATATCTTCATCACACATGAACAAAGTAGAAAAGGGGCAAAGAGTAAGAGACATGAGATCTGACGCACTCACCCGACCCAAACTGGCCCTGCCCTCTGGCCTTTCCTCTTTTCTCGACAGTGCAGAAAGATCTTTGGAGCTCTGCACAACTTTCATTTTCTGAAAAGGCAAGAATATGGTATCATATGGCATGAGGTTGACACGGTACGGGGTCAAAACATCTTTCAAACACTGTACATGTAGAGGGGTCAGTTTTAGTTTAAGTAAGGGTATTACGGCACTTGCAACACAATAAGGTCACATAAGTGCCGAAGATGTGAGGCGTTACAAGAGAGTAAAAGACACAAAAAAGAAGGAGGGGAGATAAAGACAACATGTTTGATTGGAAAGAAGAAGCAAACCACACCAGAGCACCCGCCAACCACCCACGTAGAAGGGTCATGAGTGAACTTCAATTACAAAATGTTTGACATGTCACAGAAAAAAAAATTATTATCTCCCGAGTAAAGACAGTGAAACATCTTGTCAGTATGTTAGTGTTTTAGCGCCTAAAAATGGTTGCTTGCACGGTATGCTTCCCAGGAAGTTGAGGTAGTTTCAGAATACTCTCAGGTCTGCTGGGTTAATAGTATAGATTGTCAAGCGCATAGAGTTTGCTGTTGAGCCGCGATTTGCGCTATACAAATGGTATCTATTATTATTATTAAAGAGGTGAGCCACGGAAACCTTTCAAAACAAATTAAATTTTTTGAAAATTGGAAGTTGAGGTCCAAACCAACAAAAGCCTACACCCTAACCCAGCACGAAACTAAGAGAGATAACATAGATTAATAATAATAATAATTAGCATTTGTATAGCGCATATCCCTGCTCGACAGCAAGCTCTATGCGCTTTACACTATATTATTACCCCAGCAGACCATTGAACACTCAGAAACATTCTCAGCTTCCTGGGGAGCATACAGTGCAAGCAGCTGATTAAGTGCTCAAACACTAACGAACTGACTTCTTTTCTTTGTATGTTAGTCTCTAATAACACCTCTAATCTTCTTTCTTTTTTTTTTTATAGTAGAGGGTTTTACGGCGCTCGCAACTGCATAAGGTCATGAGTGCCAAGGGGTGGGTGTCAATAGAGAAGTCTTTACAGGGAATCAGACTTATTCTGCTCACCTCTCTAGCTTCAACAGCACAAGGTCTGCTTCGACCATCAAGGCACCCCAAAAATAGCAGGTCACAAGAGAGTGACAAACATACAAAAGAAGTAGAGGAAAATTACAATAGTAAGGATCAGGAAAGAAAAAGCAGCAGTTCCCTGAAGCAGATCAGGCACAGTTATGAGCGTGACATGAATCAGCCCATTTACAATTCTACTATGCTTGAACCAGAAATGTTCCCCCTTTGGGAATGGCCTAAAGACACTACAGTCAGTGGCACTGCCCCGGGGGGTCTCTAATCTTCCACACTTGTAGGAACTATTAGTGTTGTAAATGCTGCAAAACTCTTACTAAAGCCAAAAGCCCCCTGATCAATCAAAACATTCACAACAAGGGGTACTCACCTGAAGTTTTTCTAACATCTCTGTTTTCCTAAGAATTTCCTGCAAAAAAACACACAAACATAAATTATTATTTTTCAGTCCATTTCGAGTCATACTGGAGAAAAGACTCCAGATGAAAACTTTCATTTGCTTTTCATCATACCCTCATTCAACAAGGCACGGAAAATGAAAAGAAACATCAAGTAGAAAAAAACAGACTTTATAGAGGAATACATAAGAAAACGTTTTAGTTCTCTCTTTGTGTCTGTCCCTCTCTGTGTGTCTCTCTCACTCTCCTCCCCCCCTCCGTCCTCCCTCCAGCCTTTTTTCTTCTTTCTTCTTTGCACAAACCTACTCAATCTATAATAACAAATATACGGTCAACTTCACACAAAATCATATAAACAGAACCTTACGTTAGAAAATAAGATTAATAAAATATTTCCAGTGAGGGCGCGGTGGCAGAGCGGTCAGTGCGCTCGTCTCCAAAGTGGAAAGTCCGGGTTCGAGCCTCGGTTCAGACACGGATTTTTTTTGCCCCCTCCTTCCCACCCAGCAGTAATGAGTACCTGACTTCGAGTTGGGGAAGAAAAGGCGACGTGGAAAGGAACTGGCCACCCTACCACAATATACCGAAGGCCCAGGAAGTTGTCTCACAAACAAAGCAATCCCCAATGTCCCAATCGGATGCGGGAACAACTTTGACTTCTTAAAATTTCCAATCCTTTCCCTGACGGCAGAATGCTCTTTTCCAGACCTGACCTCAGACACCCAGAACATTAATGAAAAACAACAGGCCCAACAAACACACATTTGTCAGATGTGCTGGGGCAAAATGAGTTACTTCTCGCAATCCACTAATGGAGATATTGGCCAAAAATCGACACCAGGGTCAAATGGGTAAAAAAAATTTATAGAAGCCATAATATTCTTTAACTTTAACTATAACCTGTCTTTTATTATTTCATATATCTCTCTGTTACATCCATGGCAACCTTGCCATCTATGTTTCCTGAAAGTATCATATCAAAAGGATGAAAACTAAGGAAGGAGTAGGGAAAAACAAGAAGAAAAATTACATTTTGCGAAAAACAACAATAATTGTGAAAATTCATTATATTAATCCATCCTCATGTTTTCAAAGGCAGTTTACCAGGAGAACAAAGACTTTTTCAGTTGTTTCCATGCTATTTTTAGACAAAAAACTGGTAGATCTTCAAAAATCAGCCAATATGAAATTTGCATAGCCTGACCCAAGATCTGCAAAATCAAGGGTCACTCCTCCCCTTAAGGCTTGAATTCGAGAAGTTACTCATTTTGTCAGCACGCCTCACATTTGCTCTCTACACCTTCAAGCCACTGAATTAGTTTGGAATGAAAAAAAAAGTACGTACTTCCTCTAGATCTCTCTTCTTCTGTTCCTGAGACTTTATCTCTTTCTTGAGGACACCTTCTGGAATGTTCAGTTTTTGTTCTGTCGATGAACATCTGTGAGGAGGAGAGACAGAACGACCCACATTCAAAGTTTTTAGTTTTAGTTTTCGTAAGAGTTTTACGGCCCTTACAACACAGTAAGGTCATATAAGTGCCGAAGATTAGAGCTATTACAAGGGAGCAACAAACATAAAAAAGAAGAAGGGGACATAAGGACGATAGATGTATGTTTGATTGGAAAGAAGAAGCAAACCACACCAGAGCACCCGCCAACCACCCACTCAGAGTATTTGATGAAAGACCATAAATCAAACACACAGAAGTGGGCTAATAATACTGACAATGTTATAATACTCGTGATTGAAAAAATAAAAAAAATTTATAATTCTAATCCAAGGGACATAACAAAGTTATTATTCAAGATAACTTTTTTAAAAGAACAAAGTTATAGTTCTTGGTCCTTTACAAATTTTAATTTCACATAATTTGAGGCTTTTTAAAATCAGCAATTCATTGAACAAGACATCGAATAACATAAGTTTTTCATCTGACCACACATAGTGTTATTTGGACAAGGTCGGTTTGCACGACATTACAATTCAAGTGACAAATCTGAATACAACATACAACAGGAGAAAAAGACAAAAGACAAAATGCAAAAGACAAAAGATAAAAGGAAAAAGAAAAAAGGAAAAAAGACAAAGACAAAAGACAAAAAACAAAGACAAAAGAGAAAAGGAACAAAGACAAAGACAAAAGAGAAAAGGACAAAAGACAAACGGAAAAATTGACAAAGACAATAGGAAAAAAAGACAAACGAGAAAAGGACAAAAGACAACAGACAAAGCCAAATCTCACTCACTTTTTCAGTTTTAGAAAGAGTTTTACAGCACTTGCAACACAATAAGGTCATACAGGTGCCGAAGATTAGAGGTGTCACAAGAGAGTAACAAACACAAAAAAGAAGGAGGGGAGATAAAGGCGATAGATGTTTGATAGGAAAGAAGAAGAAAACCACACCAGAGCACCCGCAAACCACCCACTTACAAGACAGTAACATACACCAAAAAAAGGGAGGAGACAAAAGGACGATAGACGTTTGATAGGAAAGAAGGAGCATACCACATCAGAGCACCCGCCAACCATCCACGCAAAGACAATAAACAAAAGGAAAAAGAACAAAAAGGACAGACAGAAAAGAAAAAGACAAAAGAACAAAAGACAAGAAGGACAAAGACAGAAAAGACAAAGACAAAAGAAAAAAAGAACAAAAAGGACGAAGCCAAAAAAAGACCCAAAAAAGCCACATCTCACTCACTTGTTGTGCTGCTGGTCTGGGTTCATGGTGCACACCCAGTGGTCGGGGAATTCTTTGCCGATGTTGTTGGAGTTGAACGGGATCATTCTCCACTTCAGGCACACATCTGAGGAGGGGGGTAGGGGGGTGGGGGGAAACAGTTTGTTTTAGTAGAGGCTTTACGGCGCTCACAACTGCATAAGGTCATATAAGCCCCCAGGGGGTTGATGTCAACAGAGAAGTCCTTAAAGGGAATCAAACTTTGCTTACCTCTCTAGCTTCAACACCACAAAGTCTGCTTCGACTATCAAGGCACCCCGGAAATAGCGGGTCACAAGAGTGTGACAAACATATAAAAGAAGTAGAGGAGAAATGACGATGGTAAGGATTAGGAAAGAAAAAGCAGCAGTTCCCTGTTGCAGGTCAGGCACAGTTATGAGCATGACATTGATGAATCAGCCCATTTACCATTACAATTCTACTGCGCATAAGAACATGGTTAATGTCCCCCCTTTGGAAATGGCCTAAAGACAATTCAGTCAGTAGCACCTATACCATTTCACCATTTCATCTCAACGCATCACATTATTTCTCTTTGGGCCTCATCTCATCACAACCCCTCGGGGGCTGTGCTACTGACTGAGTAGGAGGTCCCGCCCCTTAAATGACCTTATAGTGTTGATAGGGGCGTTAAACCTATACCATTTCACCATTTCATCTCAACGCATCACATTATTTCTCTTTGGGCCTCATCTCATCACAACGCCCTATTAACACTATAAGATCATTTAAGGGGCGGGACCTCCTAGTTTAACGTCCGTCTCCACTAGGACCGAGCCAAGTGGGAAGTTCGTGTTCCCAAGGACACAACATTGGACTGAGCTGAGGCTCGAACCTGTTTAGAGGTGAAATGTCAAAGAATGTCTTGAAATGAAAAGAGACAAGAACAGACGAGGACAACACGAGATGAAAAACAAAAAGAAATGCAACACAAAAAGAAACGATGTTAGAAAAGTCTTGCGCTGAAATGAGCAGTCCGGTCCTATGCACAGTAGAGAGATCACAAGGTTGGTTTGTTTTTTTTTATTGAAACTCACCACATTGTAGGGTCACACTCAGCTGCATAGCTCTTTTCCTCGCATACTTTACGTCATCAGATGGCCGGTCCTTCCACTCGGAGCTGATGTAGCCAAAGTTTTCCCTGCAAAGAGATACAATTTTTGTTTTTTGTTTTTTTGTTTTTATGTTTTGATTTTTTAGTAGAGTTTAGTTGTTTAGTTAGTTAGTTAGTTATAGTAAGAGTTTTACGGCACTTGCAACACAATAAGGTCATATAAGTGCCGAAGATTAGAGGTGTTACAAGAGAGTAACAAACACACAAAAAAAAGAGGAGAGATAAGGATGACAGATGTATGATAGGAAAGAAGGAGCAAACCACACCAGAGCACCCGCCAACCACTCACTGCAGAGAGTTTTACGGCGCTCGCAACTGCATAAGGTCATAAGAGCGCCGAGGGGTGGGTGTCAACAGAGAAGTCCTTACAGGGAATCAGACTTATTCTGCTCACCCCTTTTTCTTTTTTATAGTAGAGGGTTTTACCGCGCTTGCAACTGCATAAGGTCATAAGAGCGTCGAGGGGTGGGTGTCAACAGAGAAGTCATTACAGGAAATCAGACTTATTCTGCTCACCTCTCTAGCTTCAACAGCACGAGGTCTGCTTCGACTATCAAGGCACCCCGGAAATAGCAGTTCACAAGAGAGTGACAAACATACAAAAGAAGTAGAGAAAAATGACAATAGTAAGGATTAGGAAAGAAAAAGCAGCAGTTCCCTGTTGCAGATCAGGCACAGTTATGAGGGTGACGTCCCTGTTGCAGATCAGGCACAGTTATGAGGGTGACATGATGAATCAGCCCATTTACAATTCTACTATGCTTGAACAAGAAATGTCCCCTCTTTGGGAATGGCCTCAAGACACTACAGTCAGTGGCACTGCCCCGGGGGGTCAATTTTTGTTTGTTTGCTTGAGTAAACAGAAGCACATTGACACTGTAATGGTCATTTAGTGACGGGAAAAAGTAAGACAGACAGACAGACAGAAACAACAGAAAGAGAGTAAAGAAGTGGGACCTACCAGTGGTGCCCCCCCAACCACCCAACAATGTGATTCAAGAGAGAAGTGCCAATTTTTAGCACTACAAGAAAGATAACAGAATTCATCATCATCCGGTGCCTTGTCGACTGGCCTGGGCGATCATGGATCTCCACTTCACTCTGTCTTGCGTTGCAGCAATGGTGTCTGTTGTTCTTGCTGCTCCTAGCCATGTTGTCATCTTGTCCAGTATCTTTTCCCTCTGTCTGCCTCTGCTCTCTTTCAATCAAACTTGCCTGTTGTTACAATATTCCCCAATGCTTCTTTCCACATTGTGCATCCAAAGAAATTTGCCTGTCGCTTTCTTAAATTCGTCACAAGCTGTCTTCTACAATTTGCTTCAACCAAGACTTCATCATTTGTTCTTCTAGCTGTCCATGGGATACGTAGCATGCGTCTTATGAACCACAACAGAATTACAAAACTTAATGATTTATAATTCAATGAAAAGAAAAACTGCTCCTTTTAGGTAGAAAGCGAAGGAAGGGATTGGGGGAGGGGAATGAGAGAGAGAAAGAGCAGGAAAAAAAACTGCTCCTTTTAGGTAGAAAGCGAAGGGATCGGGGGAGGGGAATGAGAGAGAGAAAGAGCAGGAAAAAAACCCTGCTCCTTTTAGGTAGAAAGCGAAGGGATCGGGGGAGGGGAATGAGAGAGAGAAAGAGCAGGACGTATGGTGGAGTCATTTCTCTATCATCTTTTTGTGTATGTCGTCAGCCTGAAGCAACTGAACTCTGAGGTACTCAAAAAGGATATGACACTTTCACTTTAACCACTTAACAATAATAAAAGCAAAGGATTAATCAACAATTAACATAATATTCTGTATTCCTTGAAATCATGTTCCTTTGCATTTACACAAATACTTTCGCACTAGCACCCATGCACACACTCTCACATACATACACACGCACAAACATGAATGCACCAGCACAAACAAGCTCAAATATCAGACGTAGCTTTTAGTTTTAGTTTAGTATGGGGTTTTACGGCGCTCGCAGCTGCATAAGGTCATATGAGCGCGCGAAACACAAGTTAGTTTTGTTCACAACAGTTTACTGTACGGCTGGCTCGGGTCAGTAGTTAGATCATAAAATGCTAAAATGTTTAAAAATCAGTAGACGTAGCTTAAATGAAATGAGAAATTTGACTTACCAAAATTTTGTGATACCCTGCTGGGCTGTGACGAAGAAAAAAGAAAGAAAAAATGTAGAAATTATCAAGATGCTTTTTAAAAAAAAATCTACCACACATTACCTCATCAACATGAAAAAAAAAATTAAAATTTATTTTTTTAATTAAAAAAACCCAAAAAAACTCATCAACATGAATACAGTAAAACTAATTAAATTAAACTGAAACAGGAGGTCACAAGTACTTTACAATTTTTATTTTTTTTTATTAATCAGGTCCAAGAATCCAGAATTAGAAATATATGAGGCGTGCTGACAGATAGATGTTTGATACGAGAGAAGGAGCAAACCAGACACGAGCACCCACCAACCAACCACTGCTTTTGAGGTGTGGATTATTGCTTCTTCCTCGAGGACACCGCGAGCGACTGAAACAAAGTACTATCGACCCCTGCTTGACCGTATTGTCGGGCTGAGTTCACTAACAGTTCGATTACTGAAGTGATACAGAAAAGACACTACGTTCTCTACATCAACTGCCCTGGCAAAGTATTATCACGCATGCTGCCTTAAGATCGTCTGTTAAAACTTAAAAGGTTATAACTCATTGAAAAGAAATAGGAGGGAGAGAACAATACAAGGAAACCCTGCACCCCCCTGCCAAAAAAAACACCCATCCAATCCTCTCATTGAAAAAAAACCAAAAAACCCACAGAGCATGAGAGAGTGTTAAGTAGCCCTCACCAATGCCCACGTCCTTCCAGTACTGGATCATGTGTTCTCCCATGGCTCTCATCAGGTGCCGATATTCCTTGGCGTCGGCGAAGTCTTGCTTGTTGTGCGTGGGCTCTAGAACCAGGTAGGGGACGTCTACTATACCTGAGACACACACGTGAAACCGCTGAATTAATTTTTTTAACATATAGTACCAGCTATCATTTCGTTTTAGTGTTAGTAAGAGTTTTATGGCACTTGCAACATAATAAGGTCATATAAGTGCAGAAGATTAGAGGTGTTGCAAAAGAGCAACAAGCACAAAAAAGGAGGAGAGATCAAGACGATAGATGTTTGGTAGGAAAGCAGGAGCAAACCGCACTAGAGCACCCGCCAACCACCCACTTACTACTCTATCATTTCAAAAGAGACTTGAAATGTAAAAGTTCAATAACTCACAAACCACAATTTCCTCGTAGAAGCTTTCCAAAATATGTCAAGTTCCTCACAGAATGTGAGCTTATTGTTAGAAAAAATCATTTGTCATTTTGAGGTAAAGAGAAGCATCTTGATAAAAACAAGTTGTAAAATTCATTTTATAACATAAAGAAAGCTAAAAAAAAAAAAGACATAAAACATAACAAGGTGTTGATATTGATCCAGACAGAAATACCAGAAGGAGAACTAAAAAGTGGAGCCTACCTCCAGCCACCAACTACAATGAAGCCAAATATTTGCAAGAGCTTACCTACAACACCACTGCAGCACCTGGAAAAAAGGAAGAGGAACAGAATCGTTTTAGTTTTCGTAAGAGTTTTACGGCACTTGCAACACAGTAAGGTCACACAAGTGCCAAAGAATAGATGTGTTACGAGACAGTAACATACACAAAAAAGGAGGAGAGAAAAGGATGATAAGACGTTTGATAAGAAAGCAGGAGTAAACGAGCACCCACCAACCACCCACAGGAACAGAATCTCAGGTACGGCAAACAAAACAGGAGTAGTATGGACAAGCCATAACATAAATTTTGATTGTTAAAAGTAAAGCTGAGGCTGAAAATGGAAACGCAGAAATGTCCCACCAGACTCATTTTTAAATTAGCATAAAAAGCTCTATTAACCTTTTGATCACCAAAAAGAAATTGGAGCATTTTGTAAAAATATAAGCTTGATAGTCAGAGTAAAGTATCCTTTCTTCAGGTATACTCACGCATGCACACACACACACACACACTACAACACACAAACATTTTCCGAAGAACTACTCCACAGCCCAGCACAGAAACATTTACACTCCTCCTTCATTCTGCAGACCCTCTTTCTCGTACATATTGATCAATTTTGACACACACACACACGCACACACACACATTAAACGGCACAACCAACAGTGCAACAAATTTTCCGAAGAACTATTCCACAGCCCAGCACTGAGACACTTACACTCCTCCTTCATTCTGCGGGCCCACTTTCTCGTACATTTTGATCAGTCTGCTGCAGTTGTACACAAAGACGCCGCTGTGGTTGCGATTTTCAATGTTTAACCCAAATATCAAGTTCAAAGTCTTCGGATCCTTGAGAGACCTGGGCGGGAGAAAAAACAAAACAAAACAAATGAACACACAAGACAACAACATACAAGACGTTTTTATGTTTTATCTGCACTAAAAAATGAGCCAGCCTTTCGTTTTTTCTACTAGGTCCAGAATTAGGATAAGTTGAGGTAGCTTTGACAGGCTTTTCCTTTTGTATAGTAGAGGGTTTTACGGTGCTCCTAACTGCATAAGGTCATATGAGCGCCAAGGGGTGGGTGTCAACAGAGAAGTCTTTACAGGGAATCAGACTTAGACGGCTCACCTCTCTTGCTTCAACAGCACAAGGTCTGCATTGGCCAATGTGAAACAACAGGTAGATATATTAGACAAGTGCCCCTCATGGACATTTGAAAAGCTGAGTGACCTATTTCAGAAAACATTTGTGAGGCATCGTGGTGAAATCAGGCCCTCGTCAAAATAATGAAATCAAAGAAATCAGCGTTTTGGGGGTAGATGGACAATTTTTTTTCTAATTTTCCTTTTTGGGCTCAACACCTTTTATATCCATTTAAAAGAACATTTCTGTGTGGATTTTATGAAAAAACATTGATTAAATGCACAAAAAAAGAAAATTTCCAGTTTCCAAGGACCCTCAGGTGATGGAAGTTACCAAACTTCTATCCAACATAGATGGACATTTTTTTTCACCAAAAGGATGGCGAACGAACAGGCATTAAGATCATACCAATAACCCCATATGCCCCAAAATTGACGAGCGCCTGATTCCACTGCGTCGTGACATATTTAACACATGTTAATAAGCCCATCCTCAACAGCGTGGCACTTTGGCAATAGGCACGAGGGTAAAAGCTCAAAAACATGTTAGATCAAAGACAAAAACATGTTAGATCAAAGACAAAAACACCACCAACAACAAATCCACCTACTTTGTCTTTCTCTCTGCCATCTGTCGTTTGATCTGAGCGTTTCCGCGACATTCTGCTGCATAGTTTTGAGCTTTTCTTAGCGTTGCCTGCAAAACAATTTTTAAAAAAGAAAGAGCTTCACTATATATTATATATATATATATATATATATATATATATATATATATATATATATATATATATATATAGTAGAGGGTTTTACAGCTCTCGCAACTGCATAAGGTCATATGAGCGCCAAAGGGTGGGTGTCAACAGAGAAGTCTTTACAGGGAATCAGACTTACTCTGTTCACCTCTTTAGCTTCTACAGCACAAGGTCTGCTTCCACTATCAAGGCACCCCAAAATAGCAGGTCACAAGGGAGTGACAAACATACAAAAGAAGTAGAGGAAAATGACAATAGTAAGGATCAGGAAAGAAAAAGCAGCAGTTCCCTGTTGTAGATCAGGCACAGTTTTGAGCGTGACATGAGTCAGCCCATTTACAATTCTACTATGCTTGAACGAGATAAGTCCCCCCTTTGGGAATGGCCTAAAGACACTTTAGTCAGAGGCACTGCCTCGGGGGTTAAGAGGTTTTACGGCGCTCGCAACTGCACAAGGTCATGAGTGCCAAAGGGTGGATGTTAGCAGAGAAATACTTATGGGGAATCAAACTTACCCTGCTCACCTCTCTAGCTTCAACAGCACAAAGTCTGCTTTGACTATCAAGGCACCCCGGAAATAGCGGGTCACAAGAGGATAACAAACATACAAAAGAAGTAGAGGAGAAATGACGATAGTACTGATTAGGAAAGAAAAAGCAACAGTTCCCTATTGCAGGTCAGGCACAGTTATGAGCGTGACATTGATGAATCAGCCCATTTACAATTACAATTCTACTGTGCATAAGAACTTGAGATGGGAATGGCCTAAAAAGACACTTCAGTCAGTAGCACTGCCCCAGGGGGTAGAATCTCCCTTAATGATATCAGTTGAGCAAAACTTTCGTGTAACAGTTGCTGGAGGTGAGTGTACCCAAGTGAAAACTTTGTTTGTTTGTTTGTTTGTTTAGTATAGGGTTTTTGGCGCTCGCAACTGCATAAGGTCATATGAGCGCGCGGGACACACCTAATACTTTTTCGTTGGTAGGAAATTTTGAATTTTGCCCGGGTGGCGGCCGAAGCCTACTCTTATTGATTTTAGACCACCAAGTGATCTTTAACGTGCACAACTTGCACACGGGCCCTCCGAGATTTTTTCGCCGTTGTCCGAGAAGGCTAGGTGTAGATCTTTCCTACCAGAAGATCAGGGGGGGTGGCAGAACGACAGCAGTTAGGAGGAGCCAAGGAGTAGCAGTAGAAAGGCTGCAGAAAGAGTCAGGAGCCCAGAGGAGGGGGCAAAGGAGGTGGGGGGGTGGGGGCAGAAAGTGGAAATGAAAGCAGACAACAGAACATTGTTAGAGATCAGGAAAGGATGTGAAATGAGACAATTTTAGAGAAGAAAATTTTTTGGTCGCTACCCGGAATCGAACCCGGGACCTTTGAATGAGAGGCCAACATCTCAACCTCTAGGCCACGAGAGCCCCCTAGTGAAAACTTTGCCACACAGAACTGCCGGAACAAAAAAAAAGTTACTCACCCTGTGTTCCTTCTGGGTGGAGGACCCGGTCTTGATCTCAAGGTTCCTGAGAAGACAGTTTTTTAGATTTAGTAGATGTTTTACAGCGCTTGGAACTGCATAAGGTCATATGAGTGCCAGAAGATTAGAGGTGTTACAAGAGAGTTACAAACATAAAAAAGAAGGGGAGACAAGGACGATAGATGTTTGATAGGAAATAAGAAGCAAACACACCAGAGCACCCACCAACCACCCACTCCTGAGAAGACATCAAAATCATTAATGGTATATGACCAAAGAGAAAAAAAACCCTCAAAAACATACAAATATACCATTCCAGAAAACTGTACAAATTAAACATCCTTTCAACACAACAAAGTCATTTAAGAGACAGGCCTTCTGAAATTTATCATCCATCTCCAGTCTGACCAATGAACCAAATATTTTAATTAATGGACAGTACCTTTGCCTTTTCATATGAGCATTTTTTATTGTCTGAAAGAACATTGCTGTCAAAAAGTGCGCACATGATGAATTTGTATGGTGTTACTATGAATGCGTTTTTAATCTCCTACGTACGCCTTGGGCCCATGTTGTGGAGAAAGGCGGGATACATGATGCTCTTATTATTATTATTATTATTAACCATTCTGACATCAGTACCTTTTTCAAACTTTTCAGAACGGTTCAATTCCAACTGACCTTATATCCAAGTTACTGTTTTGTACAGGGATTTATGTACAGCAGCACCTAGAGCTGTATGTACAAGGGAGTAGGCGCTATAGTAAATCAGGGACATTAGTATCATTACTATTATTGAGAGAGGTAGATGGACACATTCACACATTTTGGAAGACCAATTCCTCATAGTTTCAAACAGTTTTGACTAATTACCCTTGGCCACATTTATAAAACATCTGTTACCTTTGACCCCTGTTCAGACAAATATACATACTACAAAAAACAAAAACCTTATACAGTTGTGAGCGCTGTAAAACTAATCAAACAAAGACACAAATCTTCATTACAACCTAACTGAAAGACCCACAAAAATAGATTCTTGAAAAGACATTATCAGATCAGTTTTTTTCTTGATGTACATCATGAACTAGCAAAGACCAACAATGACCTTGCAGATAGATTAAAAATCATAATTCCACAGTTTGCCACTGACGAAAACTCTACCAGTCTAAGTTCAAGAGAAGTACATGGATATCCTTTCTTAGTTCCGGGAAATTCAAGACAGATAGACAAAAGTTCTAATGGGACTGCCAAGACATAACCTGCTAGAAGCACGCCCTGATTACTCACCCCGACATTCACAGGTATCTAAAGTTTTAGTGTTGGTAAGAGTTGTTTTCGTTTTAGTAGAGGTTTTACGGCGCTCGCAGCTGCACAAGGTCATATGAATGCCAGAAGATCAGAGGAGTTACAAGAGAGTAACAACGCCAACCACCAGCGCAAGAGTTTTACTACCGCACTTGCAACACAATTAGGTCATATTGGTGTCTAAGATTAGAGGTGCTACAGGGGGATAACAAGCACAAAAAAGGAGGGGAAGATAAGGACAATAGACGGTTTTTGGGGTTTTTTTTTAGTTTTAGGAGAGTTTTTACCGTGCTCGCAACTGCATACGGTCATATCAGCACCAAGGGGTGGATGTCAACAGAGAAATCCATACAGGGAACCAGGCTTACTCTGCTCACCTCTCTAGCTTCAACAGCACAAAGTCTGCTTCGACTATCAAGGCACTCCGGAAATATCGGGTCAAAAGAGAGTGACAAACATACAAAGAAAGTCGAGGAAAAATGACGACAGTAAGGATTAGGATAGAAAAAGCAGCAGTACCATGTTGCAGTTCAGGCACAGTTATACTCGAGAACGAGGGGGAAAAAAAAAAAAAGGCACAGTTATGAGCATGACATTGATGAATCAGCCTGTTTAAAATTCTACTGAGCACAAGAACATGTTAATGTCCCCCCTTTGGGAATGGCCTGAAGACACTTCAGTCAGTAGCACTGCCCCCGGGGGTGCAATAGATAGATGTTTGATAGGAAAGAAGGAGAAAACCACACCAGAGCACCCACTGGCCACCAACACACACTGGTGTCTAGAAAATAGAAGACCACAAACAATGCCAACATGGCATCAGGTCAAGGTGCTTAGTAGTTTAGTTTAGTATGGGGTTTTACGGCGCTCGCAACCGCATGAGGTCATATGAGCATAGATCAATGTGCAGGAGCCCAGCTGTTACCAGATTATTGACAACAAAGAAGGTTGATAAAATGGCAAGAGGGCACTATTGACAGGCCTAATTCCTTTCTTTCCCTCTTGTCCATCTCGTCTGTTTTTTTAACTGCATTGAATGACAATATGCTTCTGCTTATTCATCCTTAAACTGACAACAAAAAGACATACTTAGTACAAATACTGAAAGCAAAACAGTCCAAAAAAGTTAGTTTAGTACTAGTAAGAGTTTTACGGCACTTGCAAACAATAAAATAACACAAGTTTTGAGTTGCGACAAGAGAGAAACAAAGACAAAAAAAAAAAAGGAAGGAGACATCAGGACAACAGATGTTTGACAGGAAAGAAGGAGCAAACTAACGTCAGAGCACCCTCCAACCACCCGCGTACAACAAAGACTACACTTTTGGCACAAGAAGACGGGGCAAATAAACCTACTTGGCTTTACTTTCAGCCTCTCTGGCTTTATTCTCCGCGGCCAAAGCCTCGTCAATGGCTCGCTTGGCCTCGTTCTCCGCCCGCGTCTTGAAGCGATTGGACGAGTACTTGTACATCTTGGACTTGTACAGTGTGCAGGCCAGCCGTTTGGTGCGCACCTTTTTGTTCTGGATATAGACGCGCATGCGCGGGTCCATGTACAGGATGGCCGCGTATGCTCGGAACGACTTCCTCTCCGGCATCAGCCTGGGCAGAGCAGGAATATAAAAGAACATTCTGGAAAACTGCTTTTTCGACAGAGGTTTGAATAGAGGCAGTTTTTAGTTTTGGTTTGCTTTTTAAAAGTACATCCACGCGATCGTTAGTTAGGGCTAGAGTAGACAAACAGATCTTTGAGAGTAAGTACAAGTTGTTTTAGTTTTAGAAAGAGTTTAAAAGCAATTTCAAAAACACAATAAGGTCATATAAGTACGGAAGATTAGAGGTAACAAACACAAAAAGAAGGGGGGAAGACAAGGAGGATAGACGTTTGACAGGAAAGAAAGAACAAACCAGAGCACCTGCCAAACGCCCATTAACACTTACGGTACCAAAGGCTCATACAGTGAAAAACCCTCAAGTACCGCACAAGTTTAAAACGCTGAAGCCGTGGTAGAATTTTTAAAAATTAAAACAAACAACCCTGGCAGGCCAAGAAATATGCTTTGAAAATTCATAGAATAGATGTTCATCAACTTTTCAGCTATCATATAGAGTATAGAGTGACTTCCTTAGGTATTTACAGGTTCATCAACCTTTCAGTTATTATATTAGAGTGACTTCCTTAGGCATTTACAGGTTCATCAACCTTTCAGCTATTATATAGAGCGACTTCCTTAGGTATTTACTTCAGTGCAGTGCTTCCATTCATTGTTTAACGACGCTTTCTTTTTTTTAGTAGAGGGTTTTACGGCGCTCGCAACTGCACAAGGCCATGTGAGCGCCAAGGGGTGGGTGTCAACAGAGAAGTCCTTACACGGAATCAGACTTATTCTGCTCACCTCTCTAGCTTCAACAGCACAAGGTCTGCTTCCACTATCAAGGCACCCCGGAAATAGCAGGTCACAAGAGAGTGACAAACATACAAAAGAAGTAGAGGGAAATGACAATAGTAAGGATCAGAAAAGAAAAAGCAGCAGTTCCCTGTTGTAGATCAGGCACAATTATGAGCGTGACATGAATCAGCCCATTTACAATTCTACTATGCTTGAACGAGAAATGTCCCCCCTATGGGAATGGTCTAAAGACACTACAGTCAGTGGCACTACCCGGGGGGCATGCAACATAGTTTACCTGAAATACTACATGACCAGGAACAAGACATATATTTTTTAAACAACCTTCGTAATGTCAGAAAATTCTGAGAAAAAAAAATCCAGTTTTTTGTCAAAAGACCATTATACCCATAAAAACCGGGAACCAAACCAGGTTGTGCTTCAGCATCAAAGTCATTCACCATGACCGGGCTAACAAGACATATATTTTTAAAAAACCAACCTTTGTAATGTCAGAAAATTCTGGGAAAAAAAATCCAGACTTTTGTCAAAAGATCATAAAAGACCCATAAAAACCGGGAACCAAACCAGGTGCTGCTTCAGCATCAAGGTCATTCACCATGACCGGGCTAACAAGACATATATTTTTTAAAAACCAACCATTGTAATGTCAGAAAATTCTGAGAAAAAAAAATCCAGACTTTTGTCAAAAGATCATAAAAGACCCATAAAAACCGGGAACCAAACCAGGTGCTGCTTCAGCATCAAGGTCATTCACCATGACCGGGCTAACAAACCCGATATGTACATGGTCAGTTTTCTGCGCCTCCCTCCCCCCCCTCCCCTACACCCTCCGTCTCCTTCCAACTCACCCTTCATCGGAATCGAAGTCGTGGCTGCTGGGATTGGCCAGCAGAATGTCGCTGCGGTCGGAGGTCACATCCAGCTCCGTGTCGCCAGAGTCCAAAAGCTTCAAGTTGTACACCATGACCAGGGTGCCAGACTGTCCCTCGATGCGGTCAAATTGCTCGAAGAAGTGGTCCAAGGTTTTGAAGGGTGAGTATTTCAGTATAATTTCCATCTCTACATCGTTCTGAAGAAGAGATCACAAAAGAAAATTGAGTTCGTTTTAGTAGAGGTTTAACGGCGCTCGCAACTGCATAAGGTCATATGAGCGCCAGAAGATTAGAGGTGTTACAAGAGAGTAGCAAACATAAAAAAGAAGAAGGGGAGAAAAGGACGACAGATGTTTGATAGGAAAGAAGCAAAAGAAAATTTAACAGGCTACTCACAAAGACAAAATGACAATGACAAAGACAATCTTTATTCATCTCTTAGGGAGAAATTTGTATTGGCCGTTTACAAAGGCAGTGGATGTTACAAAGGTTAGGTGAACTCACACATACCCACAACAAGGCAGAATTAGTAAATACATATCTCACGTGCTGAAACAACCCGCTGTGTAAAACATCCTCCCCCTCTCTCTCTCTCTCTAAAAAAAAATAATAATAATAATAATAATAGATTGCATTTATATAGCGCTCTATCCCACACTAGTATAAGCTCTGAGCACTTTACACCAATCACAGAATCATTCACACAAGAAAAAATATTTCACAGAAGCAAGGAAGACCAGTTTAACCACATAAAGAAAAACTTTCACAACCATACATTAACTATACACGAAAGGACAGTGAAAAAAAAGTAAAAATATATATGTACATGTATATATATTTTTAAAATTTTTTTAAAAAATAGTAAAGGGTTTTACGGCGCTCGCAACTGCATAAGGTCATATGAGCACCAAGGGGTGGGTGTCAACAGAGAAGTCTTTACAGGGAATCAGACTTAGACTGCTCACCTCTCTAACTTCAACAGCACAAGGTCTGCTTCGACTATCAAGGCACCCCGGAAATAGCAGGTCACAAACATAAAAAAGAAGTAGAGGGAAATGACAATAGCAAGGATCAGGAAAGAAAAAGCCGCAGTTCCCTGTTGTAGATCAGGCACAGTTATGAGAGTGACATGAGTCAGCCCATTTACACTTCTACTATGCTTGAACGAGAAATGTCCCCCCTTTGGGAATGGCCTAAAGACACTTCAGTCAGTGGCACAGCCCTGGGGGGGTACATGAATATTTTTAAAAATCAGAACTTACTAACACACTATAACTAACAATTGAACAAATGAGTCTTGAGCAATCGCTTAAACCTACCAAAATTTGCTGTTTTTGTAAGTTCCTGAAGCAAGTTATTCCAGATTTTTGGGCCAAAGAATTATAAACTTCTCACCAAAAGATTGCAATTTTATTCTAGGGGCTCTGAATTTTGTTGCATCTGTGGATGACCGTAACTGACGAGATGAAACATAAAAAGTTAGAAGCTCAGATAGATAAAATGGGGCTTTATAGTTAAGACATTTAAAACAGATGGTAGAAACTTTATAATGGATTCTTTTATCAACTGGAAGCCACTGCAGAGCTGCGAACACTTTTGACGCAGGATCTTTCTTCTTTTTCTTAAGCACTAGTCTTGCGGAGTTATTTTGGGCCACTTGCAATTTCCTCATTCGTTCACACAAAATACCAGACAGAACAGAATTACAGTAGTCAAGTTTTGACAAGACAAGAAATAAATAAAAGTTTAAAAAACAAAGCACAATATAAGAGAAACATAACATCAACCTTACTCCATAATCCTTCCAATCTATTTCTGGGGGGGGGGGGGTCCCCAGATAAAGCTGTAATCTAAAAGAGGACATTCACTGGGCACTTTAAAGTAGTTTTGTCCCACTTTATGTATACCTAGTCATGGTTCTGATTTAGGTTGACCTAGGCACATGTATTCTTTCCCTAGAACATTATGGATCATAACAGGCAAATTTCTTCGGACACACAATGCGGAAAGCAGCATAGGAGAATATTGTAACAAACAGGCAAGTTTGACGGAAAGAGAGGTAGAGGCAGACAGAGGGAAAAGATACTGGACAAGATGACAACAAGGCTAGGAGCCGCAAGAACAACAAACACCATTGCTGCAACGCAAGACAGAGTGAAGTGGAGATCCATGATCGCCCACGCCAGTCGGCAAGGCACCAGATGATGATGATGATGAGGTGCATGTGGTATTTTTTCTTTTCTTTTTTTTTTGGAAAGTGTTTTATGGCGCTCGCAACTGCATAAGGTCATATGAACGCGCAGGACACATTAAACATGTTCAGTTGGTAGGAAATTTTCAATTTTGCCATAGCGTCGGCCGAAGCTTACTCTTATCGACTGTAGATCAAGGAATTTTTAACGTGCACAACTTGCACACAGGACCTTTGAGATTTTTCGCCCTTGTCCAAGACTGTTAGGTGTAGATCTTTCCTACCAGAAGATCAGGGGTGAGGCTGAAAGACAGCAGTAAGAAGGAGCCAAGGAGTAGCAGTTGAAAGGCAGCAGAAAGAGTCAGGAGCCCAGGGGAGGGGGCAAAGGAGGTGAGAGGGTGGGGGCAGAAAGAGGAGACGAAAGCAGACGACAGAACATTGATAGAGAACAGGAAAGGAGGGGAAAAGAGACAATTTTCGAAAAGAAAATATTTCCATCGCTACCCGGATTCAAACCTGGTACCTTTGAATGAGAGGCGAACACCTTTAACCTCTAGGCCACGAGAGCCCCCAGTGCATGTGGAGTAACCCTATTGATATGCTGTTACAAAAGAAAATGGGAACAAGGGGGGGGGGAGAGGAAGAAGAGTAGGAATAGGACAATGCCACTTCATATAGACCACAAGACAAACTCTTAGAGGTAAAAAGTGAGAAGGAGCAACTATTAATTCTTGTAATTTCAAGCAAAAGCAAAACATGTACAAATCATCTGTGTGTAATTCTGTAAGGCCATCTGAGAACCAGAGGCAGTCACACTTGTCCAAGTTTCAAATCCATTCATTATGCGAATCAAACAAAGAATCGCAACTGAAAATTAGAAACGGAACATCGTGGGATTTTTTAAAAGCTCCGACAAACCATTCTCAATTTCAGTTAATGTCCTTTATACAAGACAAGAATTGTGACCACCATTTGGGCGGTTGCGAGGAGGAATCAGGCTCTCCTCAATTTTTGGGCAGGTAGAGTTATTGGTATCATCTTAAAGCTTGTTCACTTGTCTTTATTTGGATGAAAAAGATACCGATTTATCTTGAATACAAGTCGAGATATTTGCAAAAGAAGGAGGTGGGGGTCACTTGTTTTCAGAGATAAAATTAGTGAGAAAATGGCCTCTAAAGTTTAGTTATTTCCTTAGCTTAAGAGTCCGTGGTAATTGAAACTTTACATTTTTTGTGCCTTTAATCAATGCTTTTCAGAAAAATCCGCACAGAAATGAGTTCTTTAATGAGCTTGAAAAGTGTTGAGCCAAAAAACAAACATGATAAAAATTCACAAACCAGCGGAAAAATGCAAGTTTCTTCATTTTGATTATTTTGACGAGAACCTGATTCCACCACCCTGCCTCCCATTTTCAAATAGAGGAAAGACAGTTATCAATGTGACTCATTCTCATTCCATCCACCAAAGAAACTAGTATAAAACGAGTATTCTTGAATCAGAAAGCGCGACATCAATTACACATTTTCACACTTTTTACCTTTGCTTTCCCTTTTGCATCAGTAGCAAGGGGTTTCCGAGACCCAATGTCAAACGACGGAATTGGTACGATGACCTCGTCTATATTTTCTTCCTCGTGGAAGGTCCTCGACAGGAACAGACAAGACTTTGCGTCGCCTCTCTTGGTGAACAGCATCAGGTCATTGCCGATACGCATGGAACCTCTGAACATAAGAAGGAAAAAATAAGTGACCCATAAGGCTCAATTCAAGACAATTAAACCTGCTCTAACGACCACCTGCCCAAGACAATCCCTTGTTCAAACGACCACTTCCCACATCGTTCTTATTTTCTATATTATAACAACACCGTCCAAACGACCACCTGCCCAAGACAATCCCTTGTTCAAACGACCACTTTCCACATCGTTCTTATTTTCTATATTATAACAACACCGTCCAAACGACCACCTGTCCAAGACAATCCCTTGTTCAAACGACCACTTCCCACACCGTTCTTATTTTCTATATTATAACAACACCGTCCAAACGACCACCTGTCCAAGACAATCCCTTGTTCAAACGACCACCTGTCCAAGACAATCCCTTGTTCAAACGACCACCTGTCCAAGACAATCCCTTGTTCAAACGACCACCTGCCCAAGACAATCCCTTGTTCAAACGACCACTTCCCACATCGTTCTTATTTTCTTCACTATTATAACAACACTGTCCAAGGGACCACCTGTCCAAAAATGACCACTTGATATTGTGTGGTCATCTTGGACATCCCTTTTCAACCTTTGTTTCGAGTGTGATTGTCAGTTTTCGGGAGATTCTAAATCTTCACATTGTCCTTGAGCTCTCACCCTTGAATTCAAAGCTGAGTAATAGAAGGAGAAACTCGAACCAAGTGGTTTCCTGCAGCAGTACAGGCTGCTGTTTAGACTATGTGTATCGTGTACTTACGATTTCAGTCCATTTCCGTACATGCCAATTTGATGTAGATCATCCGACTTCTTTGTTGATTTTCCAAACGTCACGATACTGGCTGTCTCGGCTGTAATAAAGAAAAGAAAAACAAACCATGTCATTGGCTAGACCATTTTGTGAAGGGAAAAGACAAAACAACAGACAAAAACAACAACGCGGGGGGGGGGGGCTGTAAATAGGATCGATCAATTCCAACCACTAATCTAACTTCAGTATTTTCCATAACCGACCAATTCCAACCACTAATCTAACTTCAGTATTTTCCATAACCGACCAATTCCAACCACTAATCTAACTTCAGTATTTTCCATAACCGACCAATTCTAACCAACAATCTAACTTCAGTATTTTCCATAAGTCAAACAGCTTAAAGGTCAAAGATTACTTTTGGAAATTTACTGGTCATGCAAAGGAAAGGAAAAAAATTCCTTAACAAATACCAGTTTATACACTGTTCTTGAATTTGCTCAACAAAATATCAAGAAGGCTAAGGTGGAAAACCAGGAGCTGTCAAAAAACAAGATAAGTTAGGATTCATATAATCTCTGTCAGAGAAGCATTAAGCTACTGTAAGAATATGCAGTCAAACCTGTGTAAGACGGCCATCCATTGTCAAGGACAAAAGTGGCCGTATAAGACAGGTGGCCGTCTTAGGCAGGACTGATCAAGATGAAGGAAACAAACCATTACCATCAGAGGTCCCAATCGAAAGTAGCCGCATTGTTGTTATTTTTGTTGTTGTTGGTTTGTATTTTGTTTGTTATTATTTTGTTGCTGATTTTGCGCAAGAGTGACAATATAACAAAATGTATCAGACGAGGAAGAACAGATGGGTCGCCACCACTCGGAGAACAAGTGACGTTTCTGTCAAAATTTCATGTTAACATCCTTTGTTACTTTGTTACAGACTGGGTGAACAATGACCACTCATCTCACTTACGATTTGTGTATGAGTTCTGGGCGAGGCTCAAGGGTTATGAGGGATCACACGTTTACCTCACCAGCAGCTGAAAATTGGTAGCTATTGGTCAACAGTGGGAGGGGCCTACGCAACATGATCGGTTGGAGGGACACCCTAACAACAACGACAGGTGATTGAATTATGACGGCTCGCCCACAACGCCAGGGGCCAATGCACAATTTAAGACAAAACGTAATGGAGTCACTAAAGTGGCCGTCTAAGACAGGTATTACTACTTGGTGTGATAGGGGTTGTGTGTTCAAATACGGTGGCCCCGGTCGCGTCTGAAAGGTGCCCGTTTTACAGAGTTAAATTATATCGAAAAAACGGAAGGGGGGAAATGGATAGTGGCCGTTTGTACAGGTGGCCGTCTTATAGAGGTGGCCATCTTATAGAGGTGGCCGTCAGGGCAGGTTTCACTGTAATTGTGTCACGACGTGGTGGAATCAGGCACTCGTCAGTTTTGGGACATACTGAATTATTGGTATCATCTTAAAGCGTGTTAATTTACCTTGCTTTTGAAGAAAAAAATATCCATTTATGTTAAATACAAGTTGAGATAGGGGTCGCCTTGTTTCAGAGATAAAATTAGCGAGAAAATGGCAGCCAAAGTTGAGTCATTTACTTCTTTGAGAGTCCGTGGAAACTGAAAATGTACATATTTTCCCGCTTTTAATCAATGTTTTTCAGTAAAACCCACGCAGGAAGGTGTTCTTCAATGAACATATAAGGAGTCGAGCCAAAAAAAAACAAAAATTTGATTTTAAAATCCCAAACTTGTGGAAAAAAGCCAATTTCTGGACTTTGTTCTTTTGATGAGCGCCTGATTTCACCACGCTGCCTCACAATTCAATCTAGAATGATCCTGCAATAATAAAAATCGTATGATCTACTCCACCTGGATCCATTCCTTCGCCATCATCCAGAAAACAGAGGATATAACCACCACGCAGGGAGTTGTCAGAAACTGAAAAACAAGAGGAGTTCAGTTCAGTAAGTAATCTTAGGTAAATGAAAGAACCACTCAGTAGACCTCAGACAGACACACACACAGGTGTGAGAGTGCACATGCACACACGCACGCGCGCGCGCGCACACACACACACATGCACAACATAAACAAACATGTGAACATGATACCATCCTAAGGAGAATTTCAATGAGATACTGACATGACAAAGAACTCAGTTAGTTTTATAGAGGTTTTACGGCACTCGCAACTGCATAAGGTCATACGAGCGCAAGAAGAATATAGAGGCGTTACAAGAGAGTAACAAACAAACAAAAAAAGAAAAAGGGGAGATAAGGACGATAGATGTTTGATAGGAAAGAAGAAGCAAACCACATCAGAGCACCCGCCAACCACCCACAAAGAACTCAGGACTTGGTTAACATTCGCAAAAGCCAACAAGGAAAGCAACACAGTATACACTTTCAAATTAAAAGCAAAACTCACTGGTGAATATATTCATCTTTGTAGCACTTGCATCTCTGAAAAAGAAAAACAAAATGAAAAACAAAAATGTATGAAATAGATAAAATTAGCATTTTCATTTAAATTCCAAAGGAAAAAAAATTAAAACATTAACCTTATCCAGGATACACACGACTCAAAGAATATAAAAATCGTACTATCAAGTTAACATTTTAAAAAATGGTCTAAGTGTTGATACTGATACATTCATGATTTTAAAGAGAGGATTCTATCAATTTAAAGCAACAATACTAAATTCGTCCATTGCAAAGTAAAAAAACATATATGCCCAGAACGATACATCTTCCTCTCTCCTGATCATTTCAATATATCAACAAAAAACAAAACCCAGTGGAAGTTAAGACATGTGTGGCGTTGGTGGCCTAGTGGTCAGGCTATCAGACTCGCAACCGTAAGGTCGTGGGTTCGAATCCCGTCAGGTTCCCGACGTTGTGTCCTTGGGAAAGGCACTTTGCACAATTTTTCCTCACTTCACCCAGGTGGAAATTGGTACCCGGCTATAGACAGTGAACGATCTTGTCAGTTTGATAGTGTTTGAGCGCGTGAAATCCGCAGCTTGCACTGTATGCTTCCGCGGAAGCCGAGAATGTTTCTGAGTGTTTTCAGAGGGTCTGCTGGGGTAATAATGGTTGTAAAGCACATAGAGCATGCTCTTGAGCATGGATATGCGCTATATAAATGCAATTATTATAATTATTATGTAGCATAGTTTTCTTTGCACATAAGTAGGTTTACTTTAAATTTACAATGCACCACGGCAGGAAATATCCAGCCAATATATATGTGCATCTGAGTTTAGCTCTTTTTTCAGTGGGAACTCACAATCTGACGGGCCCATACCTCAAGCCATTATGCAGTGGGTATATATCTAAAATAATCTTTTTTTCTTTTGCATAAACCACTTACCTTGCATTATCCAACAGCTCAGCCAATGCCCCAAACAAGAACTCATGAGTTGTTCTGTTCGACAAAAGAGCAAAGACTCACTAAGGTCTTATATTATATATATACTATTTTTATAACAGAACAAGAATAAGCATCCATGCAAACAGACAAACACTCTACAAATACTTAAATTAAAACCATCCAGGCATTATAAAGACACACGTAAGTAAATACGGAAGGCTTCAGCTTTGAAGAAAAAACCCACAAAATGTAATAAAATGGAAGGAAAAAAAGGTTAAAACTTTTGGGTCTTTTTTTAAATCCCATAAGTAACACGGCACAGTCTGCAAAACTCAATTCAAACCAATTCAGCAGAGTTTGTCTTCTTGTTTCACTGCTCCCAACTCAAAAGATGCACTAAATTCCCTCAGTCGAAGAGAACAAATCACTTTCTTTCGCCTGCAAATACAACACATCCCACTGAATTCCTACCTAAATAGGATCCGCAAGGATACCCCATCTGACTGCCTGTTGTGTGACTGCCAGGATGAAACGGTATCACACAATCTCTTTACCTGCCCTGCACTTAGCGACCTGCGTAGCACCTACCCACCTGCCTCCCCAGATATCGGAAATACTTTATACAGCGACAAAAAACAGCAGATAAAAACCTGTAAATTCTTTGCCATATCGACAGGCCGAAAATCTAGAACCCAGATGGCTGCTGGATCGGAAAAGTTAAGTAAGTAAGTTTTCTTGTTTTTGCACTGGCTGCATCATTCGGATCTTAGGCTATCATTATATTGCCTCAATTCTCCTGGTGGAAGAAAGAATTTTGGACAATTTAAAAGCGCATTTTGCAATAGATATAGAGCCTGAAGTCACTCTTCATTCGATTTGCTTCTTTTTCTTATATATATATATGATGCCAGCCACAGTATCAAGATACATCCCGATGAATGTGATGATGTATTTTCCAAAAGTCTGCTTGGCTGTTGAAAAGCTTTGTTGTTTCAGAGAAAAGTCATTCATTAACGAGATGGCATGTGTATAATATATGTGTCACGACACGGTGGAATCAGGCGCTTGTCAATTTTTGGGCATGTAAGTGGAGTAATTGATATCATCTAAAAGCTGATTTATTTGACTTCCTTTCAAAGAAATGGATATCCATGTATCTTGAATAGAACTCAAAATATTTGCGATTGAAGGAAGTGAGGCAGCCTGGTTTCAGTGGTGAAATTTTATTAACGAGAAAATGGCCGCCAAAGTTTAACATTGTCAACTCCAATAGCTTTAAAAGAGTCCTTGAAAACAGAAAAAGGACATATTTTGTGTCTTTAATTAATCAATGTTTTTCAGTAAAATTCAAATAGAAATGTTTTTATATGGACATTAAAGAGGTAGAGCCAAAAATAAACATTTGACAAAAATTTATAAACTAACGGAAACATGTCTGCTTCTCCAATTTCTGTATTTTGACGAGCGTCTGACTTCACCACACTGCCTCAAATATGTACATTTCAAGATTCATGGTTTCTTTTGAAATAGCAAAAGTTTTAAATAGTTAACAAAAGCCATAAAAACAGATAAGTAGTCCTTTTAATGACTTACTGAACTACCAATACCAGAACTTACCATCAAATTGACAGACGGTAAAAAGTGTAACTGATGAAGATAATCCGATAAAAATTATGAACACCTTACATATATATATATATATATATATATATATAATATATTGCAAAAAAGGCGATTATAAAAAAAACTACACAGTTGAACAAAAATTGCAGTTAGAGTAATTTTTCCTACAATAATGGCAACAACAGTGTATTTAAAAAACAGAAATGGAGGCAAATATACAAACTATAAACTTTCACACATGTATATTAAACAAAAATTTTAAAAAGGGAATATAATTCAAATCCTCCATCCACAACTGAAATTTCTGGGAATAAAAAAGCATCTTTCTAAATGAGGTGAGAACTTACGAATTTGTGTGCAGATAATCAAAGCTGAGCTGTGCCCTGTTAAGGCCGGTGAAATCCATATCAAAGCTGCCTCAGAACAGTTGCTCCTGTCCAAAAAAAAAAAAATTTTTAAATCATCTATATAGACTAGAGTTTTGTCATTTGATGATGGATGGCAAAACTCGCTCCTGCAGGGGAGGAGGGGGGCATAGTTCGAATATGGGATTGCGTCATGGAATGTTTGCACCATGTATGAAGCAGGAACACGAAAGAGTCAAGTGGCACAAGAGCTATACAGGCTGCACATAGACTTAGGAGCCCATTGGAGGATCGGGTCTGGTCAGGGCGGTTATGCTCCAGATTGAGGGCTATCGCGGCACAAGCTGATCGCGCCCGACTCTGCGACTCAGAAACAAACGCATTATAAATTTGTTTTCAGGCGACGAGTGGGGCGATCACACCCGACCCGATCCCGTCCGCAAAGGGCACCACGTATTAAGGGCGAATAGCCACCATCGTGGCACAAACTGATCGCCATCTCGCGGTCTAAAAAACAAACGCGTGTTTATTATCAAGACTGCAAGTTGGGCGATAGGTCTGTATTAAAATTAAGGCCGGCTCTCTATCTATTCTCCGAACGTTCGCGAAAATAAACTTGACCTTTATTTCTCTGAACGCTTTTCGTTCTCAAGATATGTGGATAATAATAATTGCGAACGGAGTGGCCCTATGTGTGTGTGAGTGTGTGTGTGTGTGTGTGTGTGTGTGTGTGTGTGTGTGTGTCTGTGTGTGAGTGTCTGTGTGTGTGTGAGTGTGTCTGTCTCTTTGTGTGTGTGTGTGTGTGTGTGTGTGTGTGTGTGTGTGTGTGTGTGTGTGTGGTGTGTCTGTGTGTAAGGTGTGAACAGGGCGTGGTGTGTCTGTGTGTAAGGTGTGAACAGGGCGTGGAGGGATTTTTTTTTACACAAAGGATTTTAGTTTTTGCTGGGTGACTAAATGCAAAATAAGTTACTGCTACGGTCGATCAGTCTTGTTTTCTCGCAGTACCTTTTGAAGGTATTTTCAAATTAAATATAGTCTGGGCATGTTGCCCAAACCACAACTGAAGTATCAGAATATGCAGACATAAAAAAATTTCTAGCTCTAGAAATTTAAGAAATTGAATTTGATGCAAAACATGCTTCTTCCCTTCCTCGCAGAATGGCAGAATGAAAGATGACGCCTAAATCTCGCAATATAACCCAAAAAAATATTGAGAACGGAAACCGTTCGGAGGAATAAGAGTTCACTCGCACAGAGTATTAAAAAGCTTAAAAGGCCAGTGCTCTATTCCTATTCGGACTCGAGCCCGAAGATGGGTTTTGCTTATTCGGACTCGAAATCTAGAAATCTAGATCTAGACAAAATTTGAATTGATTTTATGGCTCAGCAGGCTCAGGCTCATCAGAATCTAGAGTTCTAGAGTCTAGAGATTCTATATTTTACAATCAACAAGTCCAAGTATTCTGAGATCCCAAGGCCAAGGGCCTCGAAAAGAAATCGAATGATCCAGATCTAGTCACTAATACTTTTAAATAGTGGTGTCGGTGGCCTAGTGGTTAGGCTCTCGGACTCGCAACCGTAAGGTCGTGGGTTCGAATCCCGTCAGGGGCTCGACGTTGTGTCCTTGGGAAAGGCACTTTGCACAAATTTTCCTCACTTCACCCAGGTGGAAATGGGTACCCGGCTTGCACTGTATGCTTCCGCGGAAGCCGAGAATATTTCTGAGTGTTCTCAGAGGGTCTGCTGGGGTAATAATAGTTGTAAAGCGCATAGAGGCATAGAGCCAGAGCAAGCTCATGAGCATGGATTATTATTAGTTTATTATTAGTTAAAAGTAGTAGTAGATCTAGTAGTACTAGATCTAGCATTACCCTCAGTCGCATTACAATTAGCTACTTTCAGAGGTAGATTCTAGATTTATGAATCTCTATCCTATCTCACTAATTCAGACAAATCACAGTTTCTCTTCTGTCTAAGAAGATGATCTCGTCTCTCAAGAAGCAAGTCTACACTGTACACTACAACTACACACGAGAAAATAGATTCTCGTTTGCAGATTTCAGACTGATCTGACAGGAGAATCCAAGCGCACGTTGCTCGAAAACGGAATAATAATAGCACAAGTGAGGTTTTGTAGTTAACTGGCTTACTGTGCAGTAACAACTCCGTCTGAAAATAAAGGCTGCTGCAATTACAAACTACAACAGTGCAGACGTCTGATGATAGAGAAAGTAGTAGAGTACATGTAGTGATCATCAACAACAGTCGCTTTACGGGGTTGCCAGGACTGACAACAGTTGATCTGCCAAAGACGTGGCCATCATTTAAAACGATCTGTGTCAATATTTCCGAGTTAGCCGAAGTGGGGAATCTAAGAATTTTTAAATAGTTAAAGGATGGCAAAGACCCTCTAGATCATAAAAGAAAAGAAAATCTGTCAATAATGCCTTGAATGAATAACGTACTTTAAGAATATAAAGCTGTAATACACAACAACGAATTAAAGGTGCAACATAAAATTACAAAAAGTACTAAGTTCTTGTGCAGAGTTCCTTAGAACCTAAAGAGATCAGAGCAGTGTGTTCTGTCCATCGGATCACAATACGTTTACTAATAACTAGAAACCTGAAGACATACAAATGTTTTTGTTAGGGATTTTTACTAGCTAGAATGGTCGAGGCCTCAGGCATGCTAATTCGATTGCTCTTTAATCTGCACGCTGAAAGAATTGTTTGTATCTGTTGAGGGCTGATGGCACTTTTGTTGGTTTGTTGCTTTCTTTTATCCCTAAGGGAGTTGAGTTTGTAGTTTAAATTATCTGAGTTTTGGATTGGGAAAACGAGAGAAGACAATATTATTAGCAAGGCAATAGGCGATTTTTCCAAGGTGGTTCCATCAGAAATGAGTACGTCGGCATGTTGCCGGTGTGTGCCAACAGGCAAAGCGGTCTTATTATCGAGCGCAGTGCTGGTATCGACCCAGGGACGACGGAGCCGAGTAAATTCAAAATCCGTGTATAATGATCCTCGCCGACTGAGTAGCCCACATAATGTATTGCCTATTTTAGGCCTATACGATAAAGGTTCTCTGATGTAGCCTACTCTGTAATTGTTATCAAAGTAGAGATTGTATAATCTTGTTATCATTTTCATCCTCCAAAACGAAATCCAAAAGGAACACCATGCTCCTTGGAAATTTTTATCCATTATGCTCGGGAGATTCGACTTGTCTAGATAAAAACTTCTGTTTAATTTCACCCAAAACTTTTCAACAGAAATAACAAAAATGTTTTTATTTAGGTAATAACACATAAACAGAAATGCTTCAATTTATTTATGCACACATTGGGGATGTGCCAGTCGGGGTGTTGTTGGGCTTTTTAAGACTCGAGTCCGAGTAATTAAAGGCAGAGAATACTCGAGTACTCGAATCCTAAGCGCAGGATTCACTACGTTGCCGTGCCGGATGCAACATCAATGTACCGCCAGCCCCTCTTACCGCCAGGTTTTGACAATGTACGAAAAGGGTTCCCTATATAAACACAATATATGCGCCTTTACACCACCATCCACAACTTTCCCAGGTGTATGGTCCTTATTAATCTACTCAAAATCTACCCCGTTTTACCGCCAACGAAGTGGCTGCCAGATGTACACAATACGCACGAAGTTGCGCACGACACAACCACTCGGTCGTTGCTTGATAACCTTTCACACACAAGTTTACGAGCTTTTCATAGGTCTAGATCAAACGCTTTTCGCCAAATTGCCGATCTCTCCCCGCCCATTTCACCGTCTTGTACCCTTGTCTTGTAGATGTAAGGCAAAATGGATAGATCTACAGTCATGTAGTGTGTCGCAAGCGAACACAATACAATGTGTAATGTAGGAGAGTACAATAAAAACAAAACACATATTTTAACTTTGTATATTTCAGCTTCAAGTTTCTCTCCCCGCGTGAATCCGACTAAATTTGATGCGACGGTAATGAAAATACCATTCCATATTAGGCTTTGGTCAATGTAATGTAAACAAATTGAATTAAATTCTGAACTCGCCTAGAGAAACGTTTATTTAAGGAACCTTGCGACACCCCCACCTGCTAAATACATGTGTATCTGGTGTCGCCAGATATCAGCCCAATAACTTACAGGCTGATGAATGCCCGTGGGGCTTTTATTTAGTGAGGACTCACAATCAAGTCTAAGCTACAGATCAAAGATAAGATAATACTTTATTCTCCCAGATGGTAATAAGTGAGGTAACTCATTTCTTCATCAAGAGACTTTTAAACATCTTCTCTTGACGTTGAATAGTCAGTGCCTCATTTATTTATTTTTTTACCGAGGACATGAAAACCTCGTTGTACCGCCAGCCCCGCTGTACCGCCAACTTACTCGTCCCAGGGTAGGCGGTATAACAGGGTCTGACTGTAAATCTTGTATTTGCAAAAATTTGTTGCAAAAGTAAAATATAGGTTCACAAAAGATGCAGACAGATAGACAAAATGAAGGGATCAAATTTAATTATTGAATTTCTCTATAAAGAGGGGGAAGATTCGCCTGTACAATATTTAAAAATAATAATAACAGGTCAGAGTGAGCTGGAGAGTGTATAGAAACGAACACACAGAATTCTACTCTTATTAATAGAATTCTGTGAATGAACATCACCATCTATGTTTAAAGCAGAAGCATTGTCTATGCCATCACAGATTTTATGTGTGTGTGTGTGTGTGTGTGTGTGTGTGTGTGTGTGTGTGTGTGTGTGTGTGTGTGTGTGTGTGTGTGTGCCTGTTTATGTCTTTGCTCGTATGTGAGAATGTCCGTATTGAATGTTTGTTTGATCGTGGAAATAGTATGTCTCAGTAACTACATCTTGGCCCAAAGTGGTTGTTTTTCTAAATCTCTCAACATAAAAATTTCTGTACGTACCGGTATTCAAATTTGTGTCATTCCACGTCCGAAGGCCATCTTAGCCAACATAACATTGCCGGCTATCTGTATTTGAACTGTCCCGTTTGTAGGGTATATATATGTAATGGTGAGCAGTTCCCCTCATTCTCTATTCTCTACTGCCCGAAAGTTGTAATCTGATATTTAGATAAATTCGCCCACTGTCATTAACACCGTTCTGGCACTTTCATATATGTACCCAATTACCTCTTTCTGACTGCTAACTATGTTAATTATTTAGATGGTGCTGCGAGGTTTCCCAGTGCACATTGTTCGGACATGGTCAGTCTTATATTATGTCGAGATAATTTGGTCCATTGCTGTTTACAACACAGTTCTGACAATTTTTATTGAAAGGCGTTATCTT